CATCATAGAGGGAAAGTGTGGTACCAACTGTAAGAGGTGTCTGAACCCGTTTAGAAGAAAGCATGTTGTGCCGAGCAAGTAAATCCACAATGTACTTCCGTTGGGAGAGGAAGCATGAGTGTTGGCGTGAGAGAACTTCGACATCGAGAAAGTAGGACAGGGACCCCAAGTCTTTGATGGAGAACCTGGAAGCCAACTGATTAATGAAGCGAGAAACAAAGGCAGGATCGCTACCCATAAGAATCAAGTCATCAACATACACCAAGAAATAGGCAATAACACCATCGCAATTGAACACAAAGAGGGAAGTGTCCGACTGGGCATGAACAAAGCCCAACTTAAGCAAAAGATATAAGAGGGAAAATCTGTATCAATAAAGCCAAGGGGATGTGCCATATAGACCTCTTCATCAAGATGACCATGAAGAAAAGCATTATTGACGTCAAGTTGCCAAAGAGCCCAACCACGTGACAGTGCCAGACTTAGAACAAGACGAATAGTAGTGGGCTTTACGACGGGGCTGAAAGTATCATAGTAATCAATGTCAGGTCGTTGGTGAAAACCCTTGGCAACGAGGCGAGCTTTGTATTTGTCAATAAACCCATCGGGATTGCGCTTGATTCGAAACACCCATTTACAACCAACTATATTCTGCGAGCCACTAGAAGGAACAAGATCCCATGTACCATTTCGAAGGAGAGCATCAAACTCAGCGGACATGGCACAGCGCCATCGTGGATCAGTAAGAGCTTGGGTTACACTGGTGGGCTCAATATTGGTAGGTAGATGGGAAGAGACAAGGCAATACTTGCGGTTCGGTTTGTGGACGTGTTTTGAGCATGTGAGCATGGGGTGGCCATTGGCGACGTTGATGGGTAAGATGGAAGTAACCTGGGGAGGGGGAGAGACAGAGAAAGAGTTCGACAGTGAGGGAACATCATTGGAGGCAGCGAGCGAGAGCAAGACCGAGGATGGGGGTTCATCATTGAGCAAGGGAGGAGAACTGACAATACCACCATGCGAGGTAGACGGGACATTAAAGAAAAGAGTGGAAGACGACAAAGGATTCGAGTGAGGGACTGATGGGGTGGGCATGGAAAATGGAAAAACTTCTTCAACGAACTCAACAGGACAAGAAATAAATAGTTTGGAGGAAGAGGATCATAGCAGAGATAGGCACTCTGTGTTAAGGAGTAGCCTAAAAGGATACAGGCACAAGACCGAGGTTCCAATTTGTGAGAGGTATACGGACACAACTATGGATAGCACTGACAGCCGAAGACACGAAGCTTTTGAAAGTTTGGGGAACAACTAAATAATTTTTCAAATGATCATGGAGAGGTTGGATTTGGGAATTCGGTTGATGAGATAGGTAGCAGTGGCAAAAGCAAAAGGCTAGAAATGGAGAGGGACGGACGCATGATGGAGGAGGGTGAGACCGGTATCGACAATATGACGGTGACAGCGTTCCGAAAAACCATTGTGTTCCGGGATATGTGGTGGTGTGGTGAGATGTGTAATCCCACTAGATGCAAGAAATGAATGAAGTGCAATAAATTCCCCCCATTATCTGTGTATAAGGTAACTATTTTAGCTTTGAAGTAGTTTTCCACAAGAGATTTGAATTTGACAAAAGTGTCTAGAACATCGGCCTTTTGCCTGAGAGGATAAAACCATATGTACCTAGTAAAGTTGTCAACAAAGACAACGTAGTTCTTAAGTCCATCAACATAGAGAACTAGAAAAGACCACACATCAGAAAAATCAATTCAAGAGGTGTTGAAGATGAAAGTGTAGATTCATAAAACGGAAGCTTATGACTCTTATTAATTTTGCAAGAATTACAAGAAAAATTTGATAAAAGATGGGAAGATAAAGAAAAAACATTAGACGAGACTACATGCCGAACAATTTTGCGGGATGGGTGACCAAGACAGAAGTGCCACAAGGTCAATAATAAACACCGTCCTTATGTGGTCCTTGGAGAAGAAGGGCCCCCGTTTGATGATCCCTCACCTGAAAGCCAGACATAGAAAAGATAACATCAACATTGTTAGAGTTACATAATTGGGAAACTGAGATAAGATTTTTTGCCATAGTTAGAACACAAAGAGTATGTGGGAATGACAAAGATGAGGAGGCGGGTAGGTTGAGAAAGCCAGTATGAGTGATGATCAAACCTTTACCATTACCGATGACAATGTCATCAAAACCATCATAAGGTGAGTGAAGCGAAAGGTTCGCAAGATCGGTAGTGACGTGATAAGAAGCACCCGAGTCTAAGATCCATTCAGACGTTGTTGAAGAGGCCATCGGATGAGTGGTCGTGTGAGCACTAGGGGCCGTGTAGGCTGGGCAAGGTAGGGGACGTGACTGGTACGCATTGGAAGTCTACGGTACATGCTTGAAAATTGAAAAACGTTTTGCGGAGTGTCTGTGTTGTTCATATAACTGGCAGCGACCGAGATATGAGCGTTGGCCTGGATTGTCGACAGAAAAAGGAGGTCGAGGCGTGAAAGAGGCATGCGAAAATCGAGCAGGATGACCACGAGATGGGTTAAATGAATGTGGCGGACCACGGGGTTACTGGGGCAGCAAGGTACGGCTTTATGGAGAAGACCGAATAGCAGGAAAAGTCGTGGCAGGAGTAGGAGATGATAAACCTGTTTTGGCTGCCAGTTGAGCCTCATGGTTGAGAAGTTTCTCATGCAGCTCATCAAAGAAGATGGATGTTTCTCGTACCTGAATAGCATTGGAGAGTTCTTTATAGTTTTCATTGACGCCGTTAAGAATTTTGATGACAAGATCTTTAGAATCAACAGAGACATTCATAAGAGCTAGTACATCGACAGTAGTTTTTATACTTTGCATAAATTCAGTGATAGATTGAGTGCCTTTGACGGGGTTAGTGAGTCTACCCTTGAGACCAAGAATGCGACCACGAGTCGGCTTTACGTAGGTGTTGGAGATAGTCGTCCAAGCATCATAAGACGTTTTTGCAGCAGCAATAAATGGGATGAGGGATGGTGCGAGAGAGCCAATGATGGCATTGAGCAAGAGTTGGTCTTGATGGATCCACAGGAGATAATCGGGATTAGACTTCAAGATACAGTTATGCATGACAATGGAAGGTGGATAGGGCTTTGTGCCATCAATGAACCCAATCAAGTCATAGCCGATGAGAAGCGTTTGAAATTGGAGCCTCCAGGCGGTGTAATTTGTAGATGTGAGTTTTAGAGGTGCTTGTGTCGAGACATTAATATCAATAAGGTGTGTAGTGTTGTCTGTAGGATTAATGATGGTGGTGTGAGAGGTGGCAGATGGCGGTGTGGATTGAGTGGAGGCCATGACTCAGAGAAAAAAAAAATAGGAGATAGGCGGCGTTGGCCTTTAGTTCTCTGATACCATAATGGAGCTTGGGAATTAATGATTTTTTAACAATATATTATTCACAGAATAGGACAGATATATATACAATGCCGGTGCTAAACTTATAAAGAAACAGAATAATTCAAGTATCTAATTATCCTAATTTAGAAGATTACAAGAATAATCTAGAAAGTAAAGAATGAATAAAATCAAATCCGGAGCTGTCCTATTACACCCATCCTACGACTAGGTGACATACTCTATATAACATAGGTACATTAAATCCAAATATACCTTTACAAGTGAAGCAGAGGGAGGGGCAAACTTGCCCCCCCCCCCGGCCCTTTTTTTACTCTATATAATAAGTAAATAAATCTTGAGGGGGCATTTGTAAACATAAAAAAATAATAAATAATGGGTGGGGTCAATTTAAATAACTAACTCAATTAAATTTACTAAATTAAAGCATACTACGGCCCATAAAATTTTAAAAGCACATCATACTCTTTCAAAATCTACAATTATTCAATTATAATCAAGCTAATTACATTAATTAAGTGGTTACCATAATTGGTCACAAATTTCCTCTATAAATAGGACCAAATGTCATACGGAAAAAAAAAGGAGAAAAAAGTGCAGAAGAAAATCACGAAAGAAATCCCAAAACTGAAGGAAAAGAAGAAATCATCTCAACTCCAAGTCCGTCGAACAAGAAAAAGATCAAAATCTTCTTCAAAAATCAAAATCTTCTGCGAATTAAATCAAGATCAAGCCCAAGTTTCGAAAACCAAATCCAAGCTCTGAAATTCAAGTGTCGAACAAGTCAAATTCTCGACAAATCAAATTCTCAACAAATCTCGAAGCCTGGGATTCAAGCCTCGTGGCTCCTCGTCTTCAAACATTCAAATAATTAATAAGAGAATTTTGCAATTTTACAATTACAAGAAGATTCATATCCATTTGTATTTCTCAAAAATACAATTTGTAACGATTTCTGTACGCGAAATCTATCGTACACTGGTCTTTCGCGTAAAGAGCTTCGGACTTCTTCAAGAACGCTCATTTTTTCTTCAAGAGCACTCATTTTTTCAAAGGCTTGAAAATCACTTCACAGTAAGTTTGAGTCTGTCTGGAAAACACTTGTGGGCACAAATGAACCCAATGTGGAAGGGATGGAATCCCTTCTTGCTATGGAAATGAATACCTTTGCAAATGATGAGTGTAATAGCACAGTTACTGGATATGACAGCAAGAGGGATCATATTATTCTACCGATGGGTGGTGGGAGATGATCTAAAGACAACTATCACTGGCATATGCTAATATATGGGAAGAGACATTTAAGGGAGATGAGGTTTATAACAGACTTTGTGAATTCAGTGATTTTCATGCGTTGGAATTATTTTATAAATTGTTTGTTTATCTATTGTAACATATGTTGGATAATCTTGTTCATTACCATACTAAATAAAAAGATAAAAAAAAAAAAAAAAAACTTGTACATATAAAAATTTGAAATTTTTTAAATCCCCGGCTCAGACCCAGGGCGAGCTTAGGGTCATGCTTGCCTAGAGATTTTTAGGTGTCAGCCAATTCCCGGCTGGTTGTCCTCTATGTGATTTTCAAAGCTGTTACCTCAAGCCTTCAGCTGTACATGCACTTCTTGTTCTGTGTAGTTCAGTGTCAACATCTGTAATCGACATGCGATCTCTAGGAAATTCCTTTGAACATGCCACTCCAATACCCAATATACCAGCTATAGAATCCTTGATCTTACTAGTAATGTTGTTTTCTAGTTGCATTATTGGATCCAAAATTTCCATTACTCTGCCAGGTATTGCGCTGCTTACATAATTATGAAGATTTGCATGATCTTCAAATGCATCGTGTTGGTCTTATGTTTGTGAACATTTCTAGTACAAGAATACCATATCTATATACATCTCCTTTCGTTGTAACTGTGTCGCCCATGCTATATTCTGCACGTACATTCTAGTTATCAGATTAGGTATGTAAACAAAAACTGGCTACTTCACGATTTTTGGAACAAAAGAAATATCTGCATGTTTGTTATGTCATTAGAAAGGATTGAAGAGTACAATATAATAAAAGTTAGTTTTGTTTTCTTTCCTAGAATTTGGCCTAATAGCAAGGTTCTAAAAGGTGTAAAGCATGGATATCAAGCCTTACAAGTCTAGGCGAACCGAGGTGAAGCCAAGGCGTAATAAGGAGTTTTCCTATTTTTAATATTATTTTAATTATTCTAAACCAATAAATCAAAAAAACAATGCATACCGTGAGCTAGGCTTGGGCTATGGTGGATTTTTTGTTCGGCTTATTTCCTTTTCAAGTTTTAGCAAGTAATGGTTGAGTATTTTGTTAGTCATCACTTGCCAAACAAAAAGGCGTGCGCCTTTTTCTTTTAGGCACACCTTAGGCGGCTAAAATAGAGTTGACTGCTTTTCTTCCAGGAATGGTGTTTTCTCATTGCCTAGACGGGCCTTTCAGAACGCAACCTAATAGTGCCAATGGTACTCAATGTTGGAAGGACTAAACAGTACAATGAATAAGATTTTATTTTTTTCTTTGTTAATACTTTCATGCATTATTGAATACTCCATATTAAACATGCCGATTAAGAGTATACATCGGAAACCAAACCTGGAGCAATGTAGCCTATGGTCCCCTTGATTGCAATTGAGCTGCTGTCATGTGTTGGATATGTACTGGAAATGTTGGAAATAACTTTGGCTAATCCAAAATCACCAACATAAGCAGTCATGTTATCATCTAAAAGTATATTACTTGGCTTCAAATCACCATGGATTGTAATCGAACCAGTACCACAATGCAGGTATTCAAGTGCAGATGCAATATCAATGGCAATGTTCGGCCTCTGCATCAAAGTAATATTCCTTGTATTTTCATCATGGTGCAGCAATTTTTCCAAGCTTCCATTAGCCTTGAACTCATAAACCAATGCCTTGAAATCGGTTCCCTGGAAATCCGTGCTCAAACAGATGCTTAATATTTTCAAAAGGTTTCTATGTCTTGCACCTCTTAGTGCATTGCATTCTGCCATAAAACTTCTAGAGGCTCCAGTGACATGGAGACGGAGAACCTTCACTGCTACCAGAGTCTGTCCATCATTGAGAATTCCCTTGTATACAAATCCAAATCTTCCAGCACCAATCAAATTTTCTTCAGAGAAACCACCAATCAAATTTTCCACCGAATGATGTCATGGAAATTTTTTCTCGGAAATTTCTTCTCAGGTAAATGAATACGTAGAAACATCCTGAAAGAGTTAGTGCGCCTCCAGCAATCAGTATCGGTGTTAAGATTTTCAATAGAGTCGAAAACTTTTTCTTCCTGGGATTTGTCGACAAGCAAGGAGGGAGCTTTAAATCTGAGATGCCTCCACACAGCTCATTATTCCCATTAACTGAAATAGCAGTTGCATTTTGAAAGACTCCTAGTACTGGGACTTTACCTTGCAGCCTATTGAAAGACAAATTCAGTCTCAACAGGGGCAGCTCACCAAGAAAAATTGGTATTGGCCCTGACAAATTATTATGAGAAATATCCAAGTGCTGTAAACCCTTCAAAGAACCAAGACCTTTTGGTATTTCTCCGTCAAGTGAATTTGCCTCCAGCTGAAGCCGTTGTAAACTGATGCAGCTCATCAGTGAGTTCGGAATGGATCCAGATAATCCATTGTAAGACAAATCCAAGTTTATAAGATTGATCAAATAACCAACATCATGTGGAATTGGCCCTGTAAATGCATTGTAGGATAGATTGAAGGCTATTGAAATTGAGGCAAGACTCATAATTTCTTGAGGTATAGAACCACTGAGATTGTTATGAGAAAGATCCAAGGATAACAAGTTGCTGCAATTACTGAGACTCTGTGGTATACTTCCATAAATTTTGTTTTTCTCCAAAGATAAATGGTTTAACAAAGTCAAGTTACCAATTGAAGATGGTATCTCACTTGTGATTCCGTTTATTCCCATGTAGATTTCTTGCAAGTTTGTAAGTTTTCCAATTGCAGAAGGAATCATGCCAATCAGATCATTGTTAGAAATATCCAAATAAGCTAACCCATGGAGGTTCTCAACACCAGAAGGAATGGTTCCTTGCACTTGATTTTCAGACAAGCCTAAGTAGCCAAGATTGCTGGAGAGATTAACAATGGAGTTTGGCAAAGAACCTGCAAGAAGATTGCTACTCCCGACAAGAACTTCCAGACTTGTGCAATTTGTCAACGGTGAAATAAAACTGAAATCGCCCTGAAAATAGTTAGATGAGAAGATGAAGTATTGAAGACCTGAAAGCCTTGAAAAATCTTTTAGCATCATCCCTGTGAAACTGTTGGAATATAGACCTAAAGTTGTGAGCAAGGAAGCATCTGACAGAGAAAAAGGAGCCGCTCCAATAAAATGGTTGCTTCCCACATCAAGAAATCTCAAATTAGGAAGTGTAGAGCCAATCTCTGGGAGTATGGTTCCTTGAAGTTGATTAGAGGCGATTCCAAGTGTAACGATAGTGGATATATTAAAAAGGCCAGAAGGAACATTACCAGTTAAACTGTTTCCAGATAATTGAAGGAAAATCAGGCTTTGAAGTTGGACTAATGACTCCGGAATATCTCCGTGGAAGCCACAGGTTGCCAAAGAAAGGTGGCTGAGAGATGTAAGGTTTCCAATGAAAGCTGGGATATTTCCTATAAGATTGTTTTTGGACAAGCCTAAAGCTTCAAGTTTCAGCAAAGAACCTAGCTCAGGCGGTATGATTCCAGTGAGCTGATTCTCAATTAGATTAAGGTAATAAATATTTGAACATTGAGACAGATTTCCTGGTATTGTACCACCAAAAGAGTTGTTACTGAATTCTACGAATTCTAGCCGCTTTAAGCGGCCTAGTTCAGCTGGGATTTGACCATAGAAGGTGTTATTTTGGAGAATGATGGTTCTGAGGAAGGAGAGATTGCCTAAATAAGGTGAAAGATTACCCACCAACCCTTGGGACCTCAGATTGATTGATACTACTCTGTTGGGGTGCCTGCTGCCACAAAAAATGCCTTTCCAGATACAAAAATCCTCCCTTTCATTCCATGAATTTAATGTCCCCAGTGGATCATAATATGGCTTCCTTGAAGGATAATAGTGCGAGTAAATCTGTTGATTGTTTGAGCATGTCACTGGACTGCTGGAGAAGTGGAAGAACCAAAAGATCATGCAAAGAATTACGATGGGAAGATTTTCCATAGTTTTTTACTAGTGACAAGAGTTACCATGCTTTGTTTTTCGAATGAGTTATATATATATGGAGGAAACCTGTGTTGTTAGTCAACCCTTAGAGAATTTGCAAAATGACAAATTTCCATTAGTACATAAACAAACCAGCTACCTCATGTGCCAAAGTCAAATGTTCTTCTTCCTTTGCTCTCTAGGGGAGATACTACTGAAGATTGGGGGAGTTACTACAGGAGAATGTTCTTGTGCATATATAATTGCAAACTACGTACTCAAAAGCTGATTATATTTCTCGTCCTGCTATTTTTATTTATGTTGCTTGTAAAAAATTATATTTATGTATTAAATAACTCTGAAGTCGATGGAGGAAACAGACTTCCATTTCAACTTTTTTTTTTTTAAATCTGCAGCAATAACAGTTGACAAAGCAATCTAAGGGCCTGTTTGATAGGCCATTTTTTTCCATGGAAAGTGGAATTGAAATTCCATTTTCCACTTTTGCCATGTTTGATAGTCAAAATTTTCCATGGAAAATATTTTCCTCCCACCCCCCACGTGTCCCCTTTTTCCATGTTTTCGTTGAATTGGTTTTCCCACCACTATGGTGGGAAAATGGTTTTGAGTTTTTTTTTTTTTTTTTTTTTTTGCAATGAAAACAAATTTTATGAACAATTGTTTAAAAAAAAAAAAAATCTCTTTAATGGACAATTTCTATGGAAAACAAAGTCAAATGAAAACGAACACCAAAAGATCCAAAATTTCAACATTTTCCAGGTGAAAAATTATACCAGTCAAACACAATTAATTGACAATTCTCAGGAAAACAATTCTAGGCAATTCAATTTCCTGTAATTCATTTTCTTTTCGCCCAAATTCCACTCTTGCAATCAAACGGACCCTAATTATAATATTTCTTTCAATACATGTCTTGAAAGGGCTTAATATGAGCAGTTGACTGAGTTTTTAGCTTCTTCTAATAATCTAATCTCCTCTATAAAGAAATCTCAGTTACTTGCGGGACTTCACCATATTTTGATGATAGATAAAATCTATTGTCATCAGAATTTTATATTGCAACGCTCTTATTTTAAAATATTGATATCCATGGAGCTCCATCTAGAATTCTAGTTCCATTCAGAGTCGCCAACTTTTACTCATTTAGCTACTAATTTATTACATAATTTGAAATGTGCAGATCCATCGAGCTGACTTTCTAGTACACAAGAAGACACCAAGATAAACATCAACTCTCAATTGGTGCTGTTAAAAGGATCCAAATTATCCTACCTACTAGGCTAGCGTCCTTGATTTTTACCGGTTCCCAATTGTTGAGGCTACTTTCGGTCTAGAGACGATCTGAATTTCACCACATTCTAGTGACCCAGTCTAAAAGAATTAACGTGATACTCTAACTTGACACCAGGGTCAATCTGAATTTCACTACGTTAGTGCCATGGCACACCCACATTGCGGCCTTGCTTGTGCCTTAGACTGCCGACATAGCTTTAGCTTCCACGGATGCCCTAGGCTGTCACTGGTGCAATGACTCGCCCAGTTTCTACCATGGGTGCCATAGGCTGACTATATTAGTGACGTGGTCCCATGGGATGCCCGCTTTGCTGAATTGGGTTGCCGCAGTCTGCCACTTTAGTGCACGCGCTGCCTGCATTCCTGCCCGACATTGGTGCCATTGACTGCCACTGGAAAACTTAGTATTATCCATGCTTGATCATACTCATAACCATATAATTTTGGCACTTTTTTAAATCTTCTTACAATATTACCCTCTCTAAAATAATTAGTTTCAAATCCACTCTAAAACGGAATGAAGCTTGGACAACAATTTTCCAAAAAATTATTTTCAGTTATTTCCAATTTTACCATCTCTAAATAATTATTTACGAATTTTCTTCCAATTTTACCCTCTATAAACAATTATTCAAACACCTCAAGGCTGCAACCTAGCATGCCATGGCACTAACGTCAAGAAGAAAAGTTAAAGATTCAAAGACAATTACATAACATCCTAGTCACAACTATAAATGATGTCAATTAGGGATATTGGTGGAAAGAATCCACAGGCACCTTGTTGGGTTTTGATACCCAATAAATCCGGACGATGATGTTAAACCGTTTTGTTGGAATTATACTTCATAGGCTTCGGCCGATGAGTGAAGTGAATATCGACACCATGATTGTTCGGACCGAACCCACAACCTTTTTTGGGTCATTGGAAGCAGTCTAATTAGTTAGAGTTGCTCATGGTCCAACCCGATACCTTGGAAGGCTTTTTGGTGGATAGCCCACTAACTTGTTACCTATTGGGCCTCTAATTGTGTTAACCTAAAAGCCCATCTCTTCCACATATATGCTACCCGGTTTCTAGTGTGTGAGTGAGTGAGAGAAGTGTAGTAGCCGTAAGTTTTGGGAGCCTTGGTGGCTAATTATTGAGGCTATTATACTATCTACACCCTGCCCTTTGTGGGCAGTTAAGAAGCAACCGGATTGGGAAGGTTTGATTGGGATTTCTTGGTGTCGATTGTGGTGTCGGTTTGGTGAAGCTGAGCCCGGTTTGGTGTTGATTGAGCCTCAAATTTCTACACACCTTTTGAAAAATCAAAGTCTTCGAGTTCCAGGAGAGTATTGTCAAAAGGCTCAAACTTAAAAAAATTGACGGAAACACAGAGCACTACAAGTCTCGTAATTATAATGAGCACAATCTAAATCTCATAGCGAGGATCTATTGGAGGATAAGTCTAATGCCAGCATCCATTCTAGATCTAATAAAGTATAATTAAGTTATTGCAATTAGAAAGCTTGTAGTTAGACGTTGGGCTAGATCAGCCAATCCATCTATAGTATATACAAGTCATCTCAATCCTTTTATTTGTGATGTGCTCTTGCCTCAACTGGCAAGACCATAGACCCATACTACTTGGAATCAAAACTATTGCAAGTTGAAGTTAGGGTCAACTTCGAATATTACAGAAAATTCTCAACGAACCTGACTACTTGTAAAGTCCAAATTATATAATTGGCAATCTCTAAATTTGTAATTGGCAATTTCCTTTGTCAAAATCATGTCCTAGTTGAATTGCATTATGATTTAGTTATTTTGTAATCAAAGTCAAATTAGGATTAGAAAAGTCCAAGTTATGGTAAAATTAATATAGAGTTGATAGAGTCCAAAAATAAGTCAAAGAAATTCAAGAAGAAGATCAAGATTCAGACTTGAAGAAGTTGAAATCGAGTAGGATGCAATTTCGCTAGCCTGTCGGCACTCGAGCGGCAGAAGCAGAATCACTGTCGCCCGCCTAGCACTCGAGCGACGGGTCGACGTCCTGAATCCTGTTAAAAACTCGTGATTTTCATCCCTATTTCAACCCAAACACTTTTTCTTATATATCATATCCCATGAACGTTTCAAAGTGTGTTTGAATCAGATTTATTCCATAGAGATCAATTCTTCGATTATCTAAAACATTTATTCATTTCAAGATTCAACCACCAGATATTACTTGATCCATAAATTTTTCCAAAACATATTTTGTTGATCAAGTCATATTGTTTCATATTAAACCATAGATCAAAACAAACAAGATCTTTTGATCAAACACTAAACCACCTAATCCACCGGAGATAAATCGATACCAGGGATCGGGAGCTGTTGCAAAAGCACAAAATCAGGAGGACTAAGTTGAGGTATCAGGAGTTGGGATCTGACATCAGGAGCACGCAGTCTAGGAGTGTTAAGGTATAAACTAGGAGTCGGGATTTGTTTTGAAGGAGCACACCTCCAGTAGGATCAAGAGAAACTGCATGAATTGAGATCAGAAGTTCTACAGGGTAGACGGGTCTGAACCGTACTGTAAGTTTGCTTTGATTTATAGTGGATTATTAACTAACAAAATGTTAAAAAAATTTACCGAGTTGGACTTTCTCCATGATCATCTTTGGTGTTCTTTACTGTTTTAGTTCTTTATTGTGGTGTTCAAACAATAGGACAATTTGACTTGTTTGATCTAACCATCTAACAGCAATTAAAAAGTGATTTGTTGCTTTTAATTGTATAATTTCTCACGTTGGGTCTGAATATTCGATAAATTTAAAACTTTGAAGTGGTATCAGAGACTTATTTGCAATCATTGACCCCAATTGTCTAGATGAGTAGGTCATTGTCTGTTTCTCCTTATTTTATGGTAGTAATTATTCCTATTGGAAGGTTAGAATGAGATATTGACTACTAGATTTGAGGAAATTAAGAGGAGATATGATGAGTCTTTTGATGATTTCTATGTTAAACTAAATGATATGGTAAACTCTATCTTCAATTTAGGTGAGCGAATTCCTGATGCTAAGATTGTGAGAAAAGTGATGAGATCTCTACCTGAGAAGTTTAGATCGAAGATGTCTGCTATTAAAGAGAGTAAGGATTTAGATGCAATTAAAATTGAAGAAGTCGTAAGGTCTCTACAAACATATGAACTTAACCTACCTCAGTCTAAGAAAGACAAATTCATAGCCCTCAATATAGTCAAGGAAGCTATGAGTGACATCTCTAATGATGAAAAACTTAAGGATGAGGACCTTGCCTACCTTGCTATGAAATTTAAGAAAATCCTTAATAAGAAGAACAGATATTCTGAGAGATATAAGGGTGAATCTAGTATACCTAGAAAAGATAAACATGAGAAGAGTAATACTCGATATACTTGGAAGATGTCTACAAGGTGTTATGAGTTCCAGGGATTTGGTCATGTGAAATCTGGGTGTCCTAACCTGAAGAGAGACCTAGGTAAAGCTATGAATATTAATCTCATTGATGACGAGTCTAGCTCGGATAATCAAATTAAGAAGCCACCACATGAAGAGACTGGGAAATATACGGCATTCACGTCTGTAGTTAAAAATGAGTCACTTGAAGATATAGAGATATCTGATTCTTCATAGGAAGGGTCAGAAGATGAGCATGACATATATGAGGCTTTTGATGAGCTGTCTCATGTTGTCTTAAGTTGAAAAAGGTTAATAGTGGTGCTTTTAAGAACTTGCATAAGATGGAGCTAGAGAGAGAAACGCATATCTGACCTTCAGAAGTCTACTGAAAACCTTAGTAAATTAAGATTAGTCGAAGAGAATTTAGAGGTTAAAACTCTCACGAGCGACCTTGAGAAATCTAATGCTCAACTCTTTTCCTGCATGAGTGGATCTCGGAAACTTGACAATCTTTTAGGATTGAAAAAACATGTTGGAAATAACGGAGGTCTAGGATATAAATAGGCTGATCATACTACTGCCAGTATTTTCAAGATCGTTTTTGTCCCTGCCACCAACTAGCCTAGGAATGATACAAATCCTGAACCAAAGAATAAGGGTATCTTAGGACAGAGGCCTGCTAGACGTCGTAGGACCAAGCAACCCAGAAAATCAATACCAGCAACCACGTAGATTTAGACCTAGATTTATCCCTACATATCACAATTGTGGTGAGTTTGGACACATAAGACATAGGTGTCACAAACTTTTGAAAAGAAATAGAAATCAGAATATATTTAGCCGTGTTGACTTCCTTACTAATCAGGTTACTTTGGTGCATGCATCTACATTATTCATGGTATCTAAATATTCATGCATGTCTTCTAAACTTTTTCATTGTTTGTTTTGCATTTTATTTATTATCTTGAAAAATAAAAAAATAAAAAAAATGAGAAAAATATTTTTTTTTTTTGGACATGTTATTTTGCTATCAAATACTAGTTAGGTTCATAATTGGTAAATTAAATTTTCATTAATTTGTTTAGAATTTGTTTGGAGTACTTGGTATAGATCATTACATGTATCTTATGCACTGCACACATTAAACTCTTGTGAGTGGGTTTTGACAGCGTGTTTTAGATTTGAGATGGCAATCATCTATGTGGTAAATTGACTTTAAATATGGAATAACCTTTAAATTAATTAACGTAAGCTCTTGTGTATTCCCTTTAAAAGAAATATTACTATTGTGTTTCAAAAAAAATGGTTTTTGAATTACATAAAATATTGTGAGACAATCTTATACTTTTCTTCGTAGCTTATATAACTTGAGTGATTAAGCATCTAGAGTATCTTAATATCTGGTGCCTTATAAGTCATATAACTTTGTCGTCATCGGCCTAAATCTCGTTATAGGGATCATGTAGATATCTTAATGAAAAAGAATCTGCACATACGATGTGAAAATCAAAAGAAAAACATACATATATATGTGCTCACAAATAGGAGGAGAAAGAAAAAATTATACAATTAATTGTAATCTCTTTAATTTAAAAAGGTCCTAGTAACACTGAGTTTGTCTTCATACTTTGAAGAATATATTTATTCACTAGTGATTCTTTGCATATTTTTTCTCATTGATTTAAGGTTTTGAGACTTATTTATATGACTTTTCACACATGAATGGCTTATACAATTTACTCTATTTAGGTTTAAAATAAGTTATGTGCAAAAATTTACTTTCTTATGAACTATGCATATATTAGTAAGCAAATAGTTCATGATGATATAGTTGAAAATCTATGAAAAATTCAAAAAAACAGTTGGTCTCGAAATTGAAAATTTTTTATTCTCCCATCACATGTTTTTCAAAATTTGCACATCATTATACATGTGCATATTTTTTTTTTACTCATTTCTCTCCGTGTTTAACATGATTATTATTTGTCTTTCATTTGTTAATCCTTA